CTTAGAGGAGTCTTTTAGCNTTGCTTTCTAATTCGTTTTAGGACCAAGTGTCCTCAGAAATTTCCAAAATTTACAACTTTTCGGTCACTCTCATTGAACTGGAAAATTTTCTATCTTTATTACATTAACTAGCTCAGGGATGGCGAACCTTTTTGAGTTTGCGTGCCAAGTAGTAAGCATATTAAGCATACTTTTCTTTAAAAATGTTTATGCGTGCAGAAGTTTTAGACTTCGAGTAACTATATTTAAATTTGGCCGAATGGCCGAGCGGTCAAAGTGGTTGCTATCGCTCCTGTAGACCCGAGGTCAAAACCCCAGAAAATTTTCAAGTGGGTATCCATTTGTGGCTACACGCCATATTTATGTTGTATGTAATTTCATTTTTTTTTCTTTTTTGCGTATATATCTCTCTACTTTCCCTCTTTATATCCATTCGTCTACCCTTCCTGGAATGTGCTCGTTTACACTTGCATTGGTATGTGGATGACTCACTCCAAAAACAGAAAAGAACGCAGGAGGGGAGAGGGCGAACACGTGTGTCGGGGGAGGAGAGTAGAGCTCGGAGGAGAGAGACGGAGGAGGAGTCGGGGGAGAGTACGTTCAGCGTCGTATCGGATAGACGACGACCCGGGAACTGGAAGAAAAAGAACGAACTTTGCGAGAAACAAGACGCATCAACCATTGCAAGGAGCACCAATTATCAAGTTTGGGTACCCTCTGACCTATCTCTTGTCTTCATCTTCCAAGCCTTCTGATAAACCTATTCTATTCAATACTAATATCTAGAAATAAGAAACTAGCATAATTTACGTAGTTTAAGGGATTAGTCGATCGGGCCGGACAGGAACTACACGCGCACTTTCCTGTCGCGTATTATATTATTCGGTGGTTCATTAAGGGTGTGTTTTATTCGGTGGATATGGTTATGTTGGTATCCTTTGTAACCTGCATCAACCTGGCGAGTAAATAAACTTATTGTATTTTTGGTTTATTTAATTTCGTTTTGTTTGTCTACTTCTCGCCCGTAGGTCTAACACATTCTTCACCACCCGGCTGTCCCATTGTGGACTTGCTAAATAAAAAAGCCCTCTTAGTACCCACAGGGCGAAAAGAGTTTTAAAAAGTTATATTTAAATAAATAAAATAATATACTGTAATTAGAGTAAATGTAAAGAACCTGATTGAAAATGATTATAAACCGAAATCATATAATTCGTTACGTGCCAGATGATTTCTTCGACGTGCTACTTTGGGCAAGCGTGCCATAGGTTCGCCACCTCTGCCCTAGACCATCGCTGACGCGCAATTGACTGATTGCCCCTGGATGTCGGCTTCTTATAGAAACACAGCTTCCCTATCATCAAATGTCACGGCACGCCACTGTTTATTTGTATATGGCAACGCGACATATGGACGATCTGTCGAAGAGCGATGCCTCCCGGGAGATCTCTTTTAAAGAAATGGCTGTTATTTGAGTATTACAAACGTGAGAAAATCCGAAAAACTCCACGTGGCCAACCGGTTAGAAACCTTTTTGACTCGCAGAGCCCGTTTTAGAATCAATTTCTATGGCGGAGCCTCGTAGGCCTACCTTGTCATATAAGTTAAAATTAATGGTGTTTAGGAATTGGTTTGATTCGGGGAAGCCTAAGAGTACATTTAAATTCGGACATAACACAAAATAATGTATAAACGTTTAATGAGTTGCACTGTTTTTTATTTTAAATTTAACTTATGATAATTGCAGGCGAATGTCTGGTACTGCATTTAAGCGGTTTCTCTACAGTATTTTGTTTTGGTACCTGTATAGAGAGAGAGAGAATCCTGCTTCACAGAAATATTTAACCACTTCGAACTTTCCGCCATTAAAACACCACGTGATTGTATTTTCTCACGTGACTACCGGATGAACTGTTATTGGCTGATAGAAATTCGTCTTGGCGGCGGTTGCCGCAAAAGATAAAATTCAACCAATTTTTGTGGCACGAGAAAAGCGGCACAAAATCGACTTCTGTGGCGAGAAAAAGTGACGTCATCCTGCCGCTTTTCCTTGCCGGGTCGCATGTGTGCATCTGGCATTATGCGGATTCGTATATCGCGGCGAAAAAATTGATACCGTATTCGTATAAAGACGCTAAAAGAGACTCGTAAAACGCCATCGCCGACTCGTGTCGCGACAGGATTGGTCGAATCTGGACCAATAGTGGACGAGCAGCCGAACTACTTACACGCTACAGAGAGCTTAGGCGGGTAAGTTGAGTTTACTATCGTCTGTACAGTATATAAATCAGGTACTGTAAGTCTAATACAGTACTATAATTTTATACATTTCTTGTGAAAAAAACATTTCTTATTCAACGGCCATAAAAATTATTTCTATTAATGTCTCCAAAGTTCAACGAATTTTCCGCAGAAAAATAACTTATCAGAAAACGCGCCCGCCGTATGGTGCGCTGCTCCGCGAAAACAAGCTTAAGCAATGGCGTCGTCGAACGGTGCACACTCGGTAAGTAATCCTACAATTTTTTGTTTATAGCATAGTTTATACGGATTATTCCCAAAAAATTATACGTGTTTTGGAAGTGTTGAGTCAAATTAGCTAGAATCGATTGATTTTATGGAAGAAAACCTTTCAAACAGCCGTAGTCCGTAAACTGCACACGTGCCGGGCTGTGATTGGTTCATGTATTTAAGGATTCCTACAACGCGAAATTCTTATAAAGTGGAACGTATCTACCGCGTTATAGGGGGTGGACTGTACTTTTATTTCGTCATCCATAAAAATTTTTTATGATAAAAATAAAAAAATATGAAAATGTTGCGATACTTCTGATCAAGATAAACAGAAAAGCTGAGATGACGACAATACTTTGTAAAAAGTAAACGCCCTAGTTTAACTATAATTAACATTGACGCATCATACAGTATTTTTAATAGTAATTGTTAATTATTTATTGATTGGAAATAAATTATCGATTGCTTTAATAAACAACTTTCTGTTAGTAACGAAAAAGAATAGTATATTTTTGTTAACTTCTGAAACGTAACCCTATGTTTTAGATTAGTACTTTATTTCGTATAGCACGGAAGTTTTTCAGAACGTAACTACTGTGTATACGAGGGATACCTGTATTTTAAAACCATAGATCCCTCCACTACAATAAGCTTTACCTTGTAGACATTAAAGGGCTTTTTTTAAAGTCAAAAAAATGAAAAAAAGATACCTTCCATTTAAACACAAATAAGAAAAATGGTTAATTTATTATTTATTAATAATAAATTTAAAAAGTAACTTTTTCCAGCAAATTAATTAAATTAATAAGTAATTTCTTGTTTAGAAAATTTTCCATAAACGCCTGATAATCGATCGGTAATGAGTTCGGGCATTTCGGAAATGTTCTCATGAGCAAATGATACAGAAGACTTCCTTATTTGTTTGTTTCTAAATTCTTCTTCAGATTCCGATGATATACTTTCTGGTTTTAGATTCTACTTAAAAGCCTCCAATCCCATAATAGTATCTACTCCACCACGAACAGAATCACTACTGATAAACTGTGTATCGAGTTTTATCCTCCTCCTCTTCCTGTTCTTCGTTTTTATAGAAATATTTCAATATTTCTTCTTTTAGTTTCTCTTCATCTTCTTGCCCTATTTCTGCTCGAAATTCCTCCATTTCTTCAATAAAATTAAATATTTTAAGAATCTTACTATCCCAGATTTCGACATCTTTCTTTTCATTATCTTTATATTGTTCGGCGATTTTGTATTTTTCTTCTCTTCGCTTTTCCCCTTTCGTGTCAATGAACTTTTTAACCCCAAAGAATTCACGTTAGTTTCTAGTTGTTCCTTGTTCCAAGAATTTTTGTAAATAATCTAACTGTTGTTTCAGTTGCTGCCACTTCTGCTTTATCCTTAGCATCTATACCGATTTCTCCAAGTTACCTACACTTAATTTCCAGAATATAAACAGTTCTGTTCAATAATTCATACATTTTATCAATTTTATTTATAGAATTATTAAATTTTTTGGTACCTATTAAGATATGTTGAGCATCATTTTTAAAACGTTCGATTAGCATCTCTAACGTCTTGTTTTCTGTTTCTAGCTTCTCTATTTGAGATAAAGTATGATTTCCCAAAGCAAAAGATCTGTAATATTCTTTTTCGATTGAACGCCTTAGCGTAATCACCGTATTCAATTCTTTACAGTGTATTTTACAATTGGGTAATTTGATCCTTGACAGCTACTGACTCTTTTTTCTTAAAGACAACGGAGTTCCAAAAAGCACCACTACAAATCGTTTTATAAAAGCAGGTTTTCGGTCAATAATTTTTTAAGCTTTGAATAAATAGAAATATTCATCAGAAGCCAGTAACTACATCAGACCGAGCTAATCTGATTACAGCAACGAGTGATGACATTACAAATAAACTCTAAATTTGTAATTTAATACGTATCACTCTTCTAAATTTGTTTTAAACCATTGAAATAACAGGACGGTCCACGAGAGAAAGTCCAAATTATGACCTTAGAGATAAGAATACTGAACGCTGCCTTATTTCGTAATACGGCAAATGTCCAAATTCCACAGCCAATGTTTACATCTATTTATTTTACATTTTGTAAATTATATTCGGACATTATTTCGTTCAGATATCTCCATAAAGTGATTTTACTCTCCGTTAAATCAACTTATTCAATTCTCATCGTACAGTAAAAAATATAAAATTGAGTAATATGTTTGTTTATTATCTATTTTATCATTTTAAAAAAATAAATAGTGACTTAAAGTAATATCTTTTTAGTGAAAATTAATAAATATGAATTAAATCTAGTCTTTGACGATCGGAACTCTACCGGAATATTTTGTTTTCACTTTAAATTTGCCAGAGTTTAAACTACAAATATTATTTAAATTCGATTATATAAATTATACAAATAAAAAAATATACATATATAAATTATTTTTATAAGTAAATTTGAAAGTAGTATTTTAATAAAAGGTGGCCGTCAACAATAAGGTTCCGCCAAGTAGCTCGTGCGAGCCATGAGTTTTTAAATGGCCATGAAGTTTCTCTCGGTTTCGAATGTTTTTGTCGGTCGATCGAGTCTGAAAAAGTTGTTTTCGTCCGTCCTTTCAGATATGTGTTTAGGTAAAGAATGCAAAAAAATGGAAAATATGCGTCAGTTAACGACAAAATTTTATGACAACGAAGAGAAACCGCGATTCGATCGTAAAAATGCTTTAATCCTAACGAAATTTTCGAGATACGAATTCGAAAAACGTCGTCATCCAAATTTGTCCGAAGACGAACTTGTCCAAAATGTAAGTTGTTATTTTTAAAACGGAATCATTTAATTCGAACTCGCCCCTTTTATGGCGTAATTCGTGACGAAATTAATGATATCGTTCAGTGAAGTACGCGAAAAATTAGTCGACTAAACAATTTAAAATAAAGTTCAAATTCTTTTAAAAAACTTTATGATAATTTTTATATTTTATGGATCAATTATTTAGGAATTGTTTGTTGTGTTAGTTTCTGCATTATCAAATTGATACTCTGCTGTAATTTAATATTAGTTGTTTATTTTATGTAGATGTAATTTATTTAGTTTTTGTATCTTTATTACATAAAAACTTTTCAGATAATTAATGCGTAAGATATGAATTCCTATACACTAGACTCTTGCTAATCCTCTAAGGCTGGATTAGCAAGAGTCTAAGAGTGCCAGATTAGTGAGTTCTGGATTACTGAGTGTGTATAGATTTGTATTGACTTTTACCCTTTGATACTGATTCTTTTTGGAGGCGGACTGGTAAAGAATATGGCACATTGACGTGTAATACTCTGCACAAAATTCTGCACAAAATTGTGTGACAATGTTTGTATGAAATGGAAGTGCACTTATACTGTTTCACAGGCAGTTATACTGGAGGTATGCTGGATAATTGAGAGATCAGATTTGTGTACTGTAATGTAATACAATTTTGTGTTATAAAACAAATATATCAAATTTTAATTTTTATTATATCTATGTTAAACAAGCAAAAGCTTTTTGGACTTATAATTATTACAGGTACGTGAGTATTATTGTTTTTTTCATAAATACTGAGTTTATTGAAATTTTCTAAACTATTCCTCATTTATCTAATATTTTGTATGGCTGAATCATTTTCAAAAATTGAAAATATAATTCATTATAGAGTATGTTGAAATAATGATAAACTAATAATAAAACTGTTTTTCTACGAACATTTAATGATTATACCAAATTACTTTATAATCATCCTATATTTATACATAAGTTTCTAAACTCTTTTTTGTGAAAATGGTAACAAAATCATTTATAGGTTGTGTGAAACATGTTGACTCAAAAAGCGAGAATTGTGTAGTTTCTGCATGAGTGGATTAATGTATATGAAAATACTGACAAACTTCATTCAGAAATTCATGAATCCTGCTCCCACCAGAACCAATATGAGGTTCCAAATGAGATCTGAACACACTAAATTTTATTTAAAAACTTCACTTGTGAATAGAATTTCATAAGATAACATCTATTTTTTTTTTCTTTGCATTGTGTTTAAGTGTTGGACGACCTGAGTTCACATGTCAAACTGAGAAAACAAACTTTGCCTTGGGTGTTTGTGTAAATAGGATGAAATTACAACAAAGGAGAAGTGCTATAAAATATTTTGATTAATAAATAACTATCATGAGATGTCTTATAGAAATTTTTGACAAGAGAGAAAATAAAACTTACAGAAATATGAGCAAAAGTTCCAAGGTTCATTTAAACATCCTGTTGTCCCAGATCCAGATGAAGTGTCAGGTTAACATTGAGATTTGACCTGTTTTGCACCCCAATTGGGTCTAGTTCCACCTGGAGACAAAAAAGGAAACCAGTTGGGGAGGAAAGAAAAGGATTCTGGACCAATTAAATTGTTCGGTTTGCAGATAAACCTGCATCTCAAAGTCATGTTGCACTTCTCCAACCATTTGTTTAAAACTGCGCTTCTCTAATCTTTCATCTCAAACCACTCTTTTTCAACCATTCTTCTCGAACTGTGTATCATTGATATATTTCTATTCACTTGCATCAATCAACTCCAGCATGACTTTATTGCCAAGAGACTTGGAAGTTAAAATAGTGAGCTGCCATATGACAGTGTTCAATATTCCAAGAATAAAGTGATCCCTTTTAGCTACCTTATCAGCCACATCATCCTGGGCCTGATGCTATCTGAATATTGCAGAGAAGCAATATTCAATTTATAAACTGTTGACCTCAAGACCAACAATGTCTTCTTCAGATGATCAGCAGGAGTTGAGGAATTAAATTTAACTATGTAAGCCACAATTTTTGTAACAATAAATGGGGATTTGTAAAGATGTTTACAGTCTAAATCCATTGGCACCTACAAACATAGTTTATATATCCACAGACTCTTCCTGGGTTCAACTTCCTGGTGAATTAGGTATCGGGTGGCAACATTTGCTGTATATCCTTACGCCAATATCAGACTGTTAGTTAACAAATTACACAAATGAGTAGTGTGTACAATGCTGCATGTCCCAAGAGACCAAATGAAATGGCTTAATGTGTAGAGAGTGCAAATAATACAGTCGTTTATCATCGACCAAGAGACTAGGTCGGGAACTCTTTATGCTACAACTAACTGTATGAAAGATCTCCATTACAAACTCATTAAATATGTAACATAAACTGGAGGAGGAGAATTATGTCACTTGCCAAGCAATGTGCCATGATCTCTTGGAGGCTGTGGAACAGGTGGATTTGATGATCCCATTTAAGTTAATTCATTAAAAGATTCACAATGATTCTTCTTTGGTGGACCCAAGAACGTTTCACACAAACTACAAACAAGCTCTCTTGTACCATTTTTGCAAAAATTTATAGAGACTTTATAATTACTGTATGACAAATATAAATATGATTTAAAAAACTGCATATTCAACTAAATAATGTCAAATAATTATAGGTAAGAAAATCAAATACAAAAGTAAATGTTTGAATATGGCTTCCAGTAATTCTAAATGTAAGCTATCCATCAAATGAATATTTGTTAGAAGGTATAAAAACAGACTTAAAAGTGATATATAAATCTTTCATATTTGTAACTTCTATTCTGAAAAGGCTATTTATTTTATCTGAGTTTATGATTATCCATTGTTTCATATTACCTCAAATAATCAGGGTCTACTGTATTAGCAAACTTTACTTCAAAGTAGAAATTTTATATATATAAAACAATTTGAAATAGAAAAATAATGCTTATGTAAATTTATCATGAAATGTGCATATTTTAAAATAATTTATGTTCTGAATAGCATGGCTGTGGAGTTTGCCTATATTTAAATATAAATCTAAAAAGTAGTCTGATAATTTACCTTGTAGTTATGAAATATCTGGTATCAACTATCATTTTAGTAGGTTTAGTATTATTAAGCATATTGAGTTCTGTTACGAAGGCATCAAATATTTAAAAAGAGAGGAGTTAGAAGTTTTGTAAACTGAACACCATAGCCTTGCCAAATAGCACTGTAATTTAAATCAGAATGATTAAATATCAATAACAAGTATTAAATAAACAAGTTTATCAGTTGATTAAAGAAACTTAGAAAATATATTTATATGTAAATATAGTGACTATTATAATAGGCTATTGATTTTAGTTGGAGGTCAAAGGTATCCAATTTTTGCAACTAGAATATGTACTAAAACACTTATCTTTATTCTTCTAATATATCTCATAAATTATAAAGGGATTTATATAATTAGAATACATTTTACCCAGATATATACATTATAATTCAAAATGCACCTTCCAGATGAAGAATAATATTGTAATGATTTTGTGATAATCTTTTCAATTATACTTTAAGGAAGTAATTGTTGCTTGTAGAATATATATTTGTTGTTGTGTATGCTTTAGTGTAATTACTATTATTTCTTCAGTAAAACAAGACTGAAGAAATTGAATGTCAACAAATGTTATGAAAATGCTTCGGTTAAAATAATAAATCACTTCTCCAATGCTATAGCATTGGAGAAATTTTTTATTATTTTATACCTATTTAATACACTGACAACTTTGGATTCATATTTTTTCAAAGTTAAAAGTAATTTGTCCATTTTAAAAAATGTATTCGGTTTTGTATATAGAAATAAACATCATAATATTAATTGGACATTCCTCCAGTGGACTATAGTTCATTTTAACTTGTATGTCATCTGTTATGCATATTGTCATATCAAATAAAATTATTGTTCCTTTTTTTTTTTAATTTTGTATTCCAGTTGCAATTGCAGTTTGATTTTACTCAATTAAACCTGACAACTGATTAAAACAATTGAAAATATTTGTTTTGCTTATTAAAGTATCTTTCTCCTTGCTAGATTTTGGTGTTAGTGTTTGTTTATTCAGCTTTGCATACATTATTTTAGTACTAAGATTTAATCGTTCAAATAATTTTGTAGATGATATATGTTTAGTTTGTTCATAAATTAACAATTTGATTTATGACTGATATAATTTTAATTTTATTTGTATTGGAACTGAAAATTTTTTAAAATTCTGCAATTATGTTCGAAAAGCATTTTACATTTTTGGAGTTGTTAAAAAATCATAAATTATTAATAATAATTAAGTAATATTTTTAATACTGTAACTTATTTCTTTCTCACTATAATAATAAATATATAAAATAATTTTACAATTTATATGAAGATATCTATGCTTAATTTTAAAAAATTATATGTTATTTTAAATATAAATAAATTTTATATTATTATCTTCTTGATTTCAGTTAGAAGAAAGAGGTTCAGATTATAAAACACTACTTCATCATCATGAGATTCACAAAAGGAATCAAGAAATTGTTGCAGATACACTTCAGTATGTAGTTCAGTAGTTTATTTAATTCTCCTAAAATTTAATTAATGTAAATGTTATAAATGCATCATTAAAATAAGTATTACATATATAATAATTGTTTAATTTCAAGGAACGCAAAAATAAACTTGGATTATTAAAAATACATAATGAAATAACCAAAAATTTATGGCACGTTACAATCTTTTATAATTAGTATGAAGGGAAAAAATTTTATTTCTATTAAATAAAAAATTTAATAAATGCAATGTCCAAATAAAAATATGAAAAATTAGAAAGGAATTTATAATTTTTTCATCAATAGTTCAGTTTAATTAATCATTAATTAATTAGTTCCACTTCTGAAATAGTTGTCATCTTGCAAATTTTTCTTATGATTTTTGGCAATTTCTATTCAAATTGATTTGTAGTTGGATTAATAAAGATTTGCTTTGTATTTGCTTCAGACCAATTAAAAACTGACTGTTTTTATTTATTTATTAAATCAGGCTTATAGACAATTATAGAAAAAGAAACATTTTTTAAAGTGCTCCTAATGTTATTCATTGCAAAATTACTTGAAAAGTTTCAAGAATTGGTGAAAATTTAGGGCCAAACAAACAAAATCGGAAATGAGTAACAATTAATGCTGTATTGCTGCATCAAAAGAATGCAAAAAGAATTTATTGATTATTGAAACAAGCAATACAGTCAAAAGAATAATGATGTTAGATTGAAGTAATGCTTACAGAATTGTTTATATGAATGAAGAATGTATGGGAATTATCTACCAACTAATATAAAATGCAATTCTGTAGATATAAAAGCTCAAAATTGCTTAATTGTAATTAAAATTGTTGGTTGTTGCATTAATTTAGTTTTAACAATGTTAAATAAATAAAAATTGCCATTTTTATTTGAAAATTTTATTGTTTCTAAAAATTTTTATAAATGTAACAACTACAGTATTTTAGGACGGAAGAGTATTAAATAACTATTTTTTAAAAATTTTTAAAATTAATTTTATGTTTGATATATTAGTCAATTCTTTTTCTTACAGGAAAAATGGTTTTCAAACCAAAATAGTAAACAGGTTTGAATATAATGATGATAATATCAAATGGGCTGATGTTATATTTACTACTGGTGGTGATGGTACATTTCTAATGGCTGCTAGCAAAATACATACTAGAGAGAAACCAGTGATTGGTATAAACAGTGATCCATCACGGTATGTTCTTAAATTTTTATTTTAATTTATAGTAATGCATGCGGGGTATTGCATGTTTGCCCCTTTTGTTTTTGTCTGTCCATACCATTATACATCAACAGGGACTCATCACTTCTTAGCTCTTTAGGATACCTGTGCCTTCCAAAGAAGTATACGGATGATTTTCCTCAAGCTATCGAAAAATTGAAAAGTGGAAACTTTAAGTATGCATCATCTTAATGATTTTTTTAAAATTAAAATTTAATATAAATATTAACAAATATATATTTTGATTCCTTGTATACGTAATTTGTGTTTTACTATAAAATTTATTTGCTTCTTAAATTTGCTTAGGATGTAATTATAGAACTTTCATACAGTCAAACTTTGTTATAATGAGCATTAAGGAACTGACAAGATTTTCTTGTTATAACTAGAGCCAAAAATTTTCACTTTTGGTGAATTTCTCAGCTATATTCGCCTGGAATGACCATCTTTCAACTAGTACTAATTTAAAAATTTGGTCTCAATATCAATAAATTTTTTTGGCGAAAATCGGTGATTTTAACCCTATACCCTAACTGGCATTTTGGCAATAGGTGACAAAATCGTCAATTTCCCATGTGCTTCGTGCAAAAATGCCTAGAAAACAGTCAATTGAGTTTAAAATTGATTCCGTGATTAAGGAATTAGGTGGCAATATATTTCACCGTACCAAAAAAACAATTCTCTGTGTTAAGTGCTCTACACACGTCAACTATGAACGTGATACAATTAAGAAATGACTTTTGCAAAACAGTGTGAAACACAAGAAACATAACATGCTATAGTCACAAATACTGTTGTTTGAAAATGGAAGCGATTTTGATAAAGAAATGGTTGAAGCATTCACCAGTGCAGATATTCTGCTTGAAAAATCAAATAGCGAAAAACTGAGATTGTTTCTTGAGAAATATATGAAGAAGCCAATCAAAAGGGTTCCAGGTATTTTTTTATTCTAATTAGTTTTTTAATGAAATGTTTATTTTATTGAAATTGATGCTGCTGTTTGCGATTGTGCTCATAATTTAGCTGAAATGTGATTTTATTTGAAGTCTCATTGCATTATTTATTTTTTTTAGCACTGCAGGCACATCAAAAAACTATCTTCAACTCAGTAACAGAAAAAATTAAGGATGAAATTAATGGACATGATGTCTATTTCATTGTTGACAAAACTAGTGACAAAATGCAAAGTAAAGTGGTCAACATGATTGTAGGAAAATTGAATGGCAAATTGAAAAGCAAAATCAATGTTAATTGATGTGACATTTCACTCAACGTGTCTAGAAAATTGTGTCCAAATGATTTAAAATATTCAAAACTGAAGTTAATGGTGACAGATTGAGCAAAATACATGATGAATACAGTAAGTGAGATTAAGAAAAATTCATTGATTTTTCCAAATGTGCATCACGTCACGTGTCTTGCTCATGCCTTACATAATGCTGCATTTAGGATTCAGAATGAGTACAAATTAACAAATTCGCTTATATCAGAAATGAAGAAGTTTTTTTGTGAAGTCAAGAGAAAGATAAAATTATTTTAAGAATGCAACTGGAGTTAGTAATCTTCCTCCAGAACCAATTGTCACTCGCTGGGGGTCATGGTTAAATGCTGCAAAGTACTATGTCGATAATTTTGATACTGTTGAGTGCTACATTTTGAACTATAAACAAAAAATCTCATTCAAATGCTAGAAATGTTTTGGTGAAACTATTGCAAGAGAAGGAAATTAACCTCAAGAAAGAATTATTTGATCTCCATAATCTCATCAAGCTACCAAATATTATAATATCACTGGAAGAACAAGGACTCAGTGTAACTAAAAAGCCAAACTAATTGAAAATGCAAAAGAAATTGTTTCTGGTTATACCATATTTTCTCAAAAATTGGAAAACGTTTTGTCAAGTAATCCTGATCTTATCAGATTTATGTTTTTTTTTATATGAATTTAAGTGATAAAGTTAATAGCGAATACGCTCCTTTAGTTGCAGTCGACGTTGAACGTTCGTTCTTATTATATTCATTGATATTGAGCAATCGACATCATAGTTTAAGTGAGGATTATTTGAAATATCTAAGTGTAATTCATTTTAACTCATTTTTGAAATAAATAACTGGAATTTTTTTTAGCAATTTAAGGCAAAAAATTATTTTTTTTTTTTTGCCGTGATTTAGGCCCAAAAACTGGCGAAAACTTTCGGCTCTAGCTATAACCATTACTTCTTAATCTGCAAAGAGCAGTAATGTAACTATGAGGAGAATGGGCATCTGCCTTGGGCACAAACATGTAGGGAGCTCCCTGCAGGTGGAAAAATTTGTAGCTACACCACTGATGATTAGTAAAATATATTTTTTAATTTTTATTCTAAATAAGTTGATTAAAAAACTATAATGTAAATACATTTTATAACTATTAATAAAAATATAGTATAAATTATAATTAATATTAAACGATTTGCTTTTTTGTAATTAAAGATAATACTAATTAATGATAATCCCGATTTCAGTTAATCTTTTTATGTACAGATCTTAAAATTGATTATTGCTTTATTTTTCCATAATGTCAAAACTGTCTAAAATGACAAAGAAAATTTTCTATACATGCCAATGTTTTCAGCACCATGTTCTAACTCGTGAATAATTTTCTACTTTTTCATAAACTGAGAGAGATTTTTTTTAGTCATCAACATATTTCTCATAGAAGGGTTCATTTCTAACTAGAGTATACAGTAATTTTACAATCATAATGATGATTAGGTAAATTGGCAGAGTGGGGCTAGAAGCTAGTCAAAAAAGAGGGGGACAGTCTCTAAAAAAAAAGATAAGTGATAAATAGGTAGTAATTAGTTTTACAACCTGTAAAACTAATTACTACCTATTAAAACTCATTATTCAGTGGTCATAAACTAAGGTTGTAAAACTAAATATTCAGTGGTCATAAACTAAGGTTGTAAAACTAAATATTCAGTGGTCATAAAACTAAGTAACCCTTTCAGTTTTATCTCTTCCAAGAATTTGGTATCACATTTCTTACTGCTTGAACAATTAAGAATATTTGTGTGTTTGCATAGCAACCATAAATTTGCTAGATATATCCATTAAGTATGCTTGTTATAATCATGAGAAAATCCATGAAAATATGCATAAATTAAAATTGTTATGCATTTTGCTCATTATATCTGTGTTCGTTATAACTGAGTTTAACTGTATTAATAAATATAGATTTATAAGGGAATTCTATTAGTACTAGTTGTATCTGGCAAAATATTTGCTGTAAAAAATTGTTAAATTACAAATAAATAGGAAAATAATGTAGATAAATTTATTTACATAAAAGTTATTAATATAATATATGAAATTTCTTTGTGTACAACAGTTTTTGTGTAAATTAGGTCTTCATTTTTGCATTCAAGTTGATGACACGTCATTGAACATAGCTTCTTTTTCTCTCTCATCTATCTGTAAGAGTTATTTGCTTAGGCATTTTCTGACCAAAATTTAATTTACAATAATATTTCCATTAATAACATANCATGACAAAATTTAATTTACAATAATCTTTCTGTTAATAACAAAATTAAAAATTAATTTGGAATAAATTAATGAAATAATGTCAACTCAAAGTTATTTTCAAAAGCATTTTTATACTGGACAGAGGTAAGTTAAATAGATGGAATGGTAGCAGAATGGAATGCCACTACAAGAAGAAAAATTGGATATATTTTTGCTTCTATTAATAATTATTTGAAATGAAATTATACAGTAAAACAGATGTAAATCTGGATACAAGAGGAGCAGTGGTGCGTGCAGCCAGGGGATTGCAAGATAGCAATTGAACCTCCCACTACTAATAATCATTTTAACAGTTGAAATTTATTTATATGTAAAGTATAAAAGTAAACTAAAGCTAATCTCATACAATATTTCCATGAAAAAATCCCATTGTATGCCTCATATGCAAAAGTCACTTGTGTTTTGAATTTTTGAAACATGTCCTACTTTGCCTAAGAAGACTTCATACACAAGAGCATCATCCTATGTGTACTAGCTTATCTTTGCTTAAAAGAGTACTACGCTGTTGTGTTAATGTAAATTAAATGTAGATATACTGATATAGTAACTATTCAGTGATATTTCTGTAGTAACTGTTGTTAAAAATATGTAATAATAAAACTGTTATTAAAAAGAAATGCATTTTCTTTTACTATAATGTTAAGAAATTAGTTGAACCTTAATTTGTTAAATATTTTTGCGTGTATATTTAAGAATGATTTTGTTAAATATTTGTTTATTTTAAAATATTTAATTTTTTAAAATTTAGATGGAAATGGCGACAACGCATAAGAGTCACACTTATAAGTGAACATGCAAAAGATCCTCCAATTGAATTGCATGATCAACAGTTGCAGTATCCTGAGTACAGATTTTTAGACTGCTGGCAAGAACAACCACCACGAAAATCAGAAATATCTGATCATCAGAAAGTAAAAGTTGAACATGTTTTGCCTGTTAGGGCTCTTAATGAAGTTTTTATTGGTGAAACTTTATCATCAAGGTATAGTAATTAACAGAGAAATTTTGTTTACAAGTTTTCGAAACAAAATATAAATTTGCATTTCATTTGTTAACTGTTTTTCAAATTATAAAATATACCATTTTTACATTTGATAATTTGTTCTATTCTGTTGTATTTTTTGCTTTATAAAATACTCTTCCAAAAATGTGGTTTTTGCAAATCCTTAGACTAGTAGTTCCTGACTGGTGTACTGTGGCAAACCAGTTAGCAAATAATTAGACCAGTAGTTCTTATCTTAGATTTTGTAAAAATGAGAGTCTAATGCCTCTTAATGCAAGATGAAGTTCCTTTAATGATAAACTAGTTTATATGTAGAATTCATTTTGTGAAATTTTGTTTGTAGACATGAACTCATTATAAGTTATTTTGTAAGATCTTTTATATATATGTATTTTGTTTATTTGTTAACACCAGTGCTCAAAATTTAAGCATTTGTTGCTTAAATTTTGATCACTGGTGTTATTTACTTTTATTGGAATTTTGTCTAAATTTCTCAAAAGAATTTTTTCTACATAAACTTTGTTAAATTATGAATGAATCTTACATGTCATTATCTTACAATAAAGGAAATATGTTAATTACTGAGCTTAATCAAACTTTATGTTTTAGGAGTTTCTCTTCCTTTCTAAGAATATATTATAATATACCAGATATGACAAACTAAGCTATTTAGACAGTCCAATGTGGTTAGCAAAACTCTTCAAATAAAATCATGATTTTATTTATATTAAATTGAATTCTGATATGATGGATAAATAAAAATGTATATGCATTTTGTTTTGAGACCATACATATTTTATTTTTTTTCTGATAACAGTTTTATAATGATGTATTCCGAGACCGTATCTTCTTTTATTTGTTTTTTTCTTCATGACTAGGTGTATTAATAGACATAAGGCGTTTTTACATCATCTTTATTCTGAATCTTCTATAGGCCGATATGTGTTTCAGGCAAAGGTCCCTCATCCATTGATTACACAATAAGACGTATTATAAATTTCTTACATTACAAATGTTTTATCATAATAAGTTATGACATACCATGACATCTGGGATTTTCTTTGTGTTGTTTTGATACTTATACATTTTGTTTAAAAATTATGAAATAATGAAAAGTCAAACCAATAACATCAACAAAAGCTTGATTGTAAAAATCCATGATAATTGGTTAAAATTATTGTAATACTATTTATAATGCTATCAACGAAAACAGTTATGATAATAATGCTAATGGTAATTAGAATGTTTCAATAATAATTAAAAAAAAGATTGATTTATAGTATATTGTTTTTAAAAAAATGTTAATATGCCAACGAGATTAAAAAAGATCCTGTTAAGACAGATGTCAAGAGTATATGCTGGAAGATGCTAGATGTCAAACCATAAAACCTTCACTGTAATAGTAATTTAAATCATAAATGTATTTTAAACTGCAATGATATTTTTAACAATTTTAACTGTAAATAGGTAATTTTAAACAAAATGTATAAGTATCAAAACAACACAAAGAAAATCCCGAATGTCATGGTATGTCATAACTTATTATGATAAAACATTTGTAAAGTAAGAAATTTATAATATGTCGTATTGTGTAGCTGACAGATGAGGGGCCTTTGCCTGAAATGAATATTGGCCTGTAGAAGATTCAGATTAAAAGTGATGTAAAAATGCCTTATGTCTATTATTACACCTAGTTGTGAAGAAAAAACAATTTTATAATGATTGTTTACATTGTAAATGTGTGCTGTCAAGATTATTTTATTATTGTTGTTTTCTGGAAATATAATTTTCCAGAAAACAACAATAATAAAATAATCTTGACATTGTAATCTTGTATTTTTTTTTTAACTTAGTGGTTCAGTTTTAGTTTAAACTTTGTCATGCAGTGATGCATGTTATGGTTTGTACAGTTTTAATTCAAACATCAAGTAGGTTGGTTGTTTTACTTTGTCTTTCAAATGTCAACTACTACTACTCACAAGTCAGTTATAATCAAGCAATATAGGTAATTATTTTTAATTTCTATTCAGAAAGAGTTATTGCCATTGAATCATATATAAGTAACAAACATAATTTACTTTATTGATTTTAGATCTAAAAACTTGGAAAATTATATTTAAATTTTACCATGGCATCAACGAGAAAAAACAAAGATATGAGCAGGAAGATAAATGTTGCAAGAGAAAGAGGGAAGAAAATTTTGCGAATGCAAATTTTCTTCCCATTTCATTTTATTGCAAATAATATGCAAATTTTGCAGATTATTTGAAAAACTACAAATACAAATTATAGTTAACAATTTATGTTGTCATTATAAAACATCATTCATAATTTTCGACTTGGTATCCAACAATTCAAATTACAAATGAAAAACCTTAAATATTTAAAATTTGGTATTCTTCAACAGCAAAAGCTCTTATATTTTAGTAATGAAGCATATACTGCCTCTAAAGCCAGTTTTTGATAGTTTGAAATATTGCATGATTTAATCATCCATATGGCAAAGGAGAATTTATTTAAAAATTTTGGAAGAAGTGATAATTTTAGATCCAAAAGAAACACAACTTCAATTAATTATAAATGCTATTTAAAAATGATTCATGCAAAAATTTCCTGTGCAATTAACATATCTGAGAATATTTTGCACTACTCTATGGCAATGTTCCCTATAATTTTTTTTGTAGATGAGTGGAACATATACTTCTCTGAGCAAAAAAAATTTTTGCTGAGCAGATTCTGAGCAAAAAATTTTTCTGAGCATATATATATAAAATCTTATTTTTTCCTATAAAAATTAAAATAATGAATTATAGAGATTAAAATTTATTTTAAAACATACTTTTATATGAAATATTATCTTTTGTCAATGATTTAATGTATTTAATCAAAATATACACAACAACAATCATGTTGCAGACAGAGTGAGAAATAAGTAAACAATAATTCAAATCAGTGTGCATGCTCACCTGCGCGGCACATAAATTCTCGTGCGCGGCAACAATTTGAGCAGTGTGCGGCCACGCAACTGCGCAGCTTAGAGGGAACATTGCACTATGAAAGAAATGCTTTGAAGATGTTAATTTGTAAAAATTGTTAAAATATTTTTTTGTTAAGCCATGAAATGGGAAAAAATTTTCATTAACAAAAAAGAACAAATCAATCTGTTTAATATAAACATAATACACAACAATTGTTATAACAACTTAAACAATATTTCATTTATGTTAATTTTAAGAGAAATTTTTAAGATTAAACATTGTAGTGTTTTTAGTTTGATTTTGCATTGGAATTCAATTATTCATTTGAAAGAGAAGGAACCACAAAGCACATTCAAGAAATTTAACAACTTTTTAATATTTTATTAGTACTTTTGCTTAATTGATTATATTAAAATAGCATTGTTATTATTAAGAAAAAGTAGTTGAATAAAGTTTAAAAAATTAAAAAAAAAACTTTAAGAATTTTTATACAAAATTAAAAATTTTTATTAAGGGAGGATATGAAATTTATATAGACTCATTTTTAAGCTTTTTGTAGTTTTTCAGTGTCTCATGAAAATTATTTCTGACTTCTAATATTTTTTTTCAAGTATTAATAGACTGATATAAATGAAATGTATGGCATTAGGAAGTAGTGTGTGACATATCAGCCAAGCTATTACTATAATTATCATTTAAGTTAAAAATAGAAAATTTTTCAGCAATGCTTATAAATTGGAAACAAACTTGTTTCATGCATAATGTGCTTCATTCTTTAACTTTGATCAATGAAAACAAAAAAAAATTAATAAATAAATTAGGTCAAGATCATAACTGTAGTCATTAATTGCTATGGTGCTATATTGTAAATTCCTTTATATATAAATTTATTTAAATTTTCAGCTAAAAATTTAATTTTGTAAATTTAAGAATAGTTAATCAACATAAATATTAAAATTTTTCTGTTTTTTCTGCAAAATGCCTATGATAATTTTTATTTTTACATGAACTTCTACATAAGAAATAATTTTCTTTTCAAATAAGAAAACAGATTTAATTATCATATTTTATATTTTTTTTATGTAATATTTTCTTATACTCTTTGCATATATAAAATATTTGATACTTAATTTTCACTTTTAATTACTGTTTTAAAATATTTCTAATAATAAATGGTGTTACATAAAAAAATATTACAAAGGCTAATGTCTTTGTAATATTTTTTTTATTCTGAATATATTAAGAATTTTTTATTTTTTATTCCTCAAATTCTGAACTAATAAAAACATATAAAATAGTTTTATTTTTCATTTTGATGCATTATATTAATTTTATAATAAAGTATTATATATCATAAATTTATGTTGATGTTTTTAGAGTATCATATTATGAATTATCAGTAGATAATTCTCTTCCAAGCAAACAGAAAAGTTCAGGAATGACTATTTGTACTGGAACTGGATCAACATCTTGGTCATTCAATATTAACAAAGTAACACCTCGGTGTGTTCATCAACTTTTGCAAATTGGTAAGTTATCATTTTGAATTTTACCTAAATTTACAAACTTATACATTTTAAAATTAATTTGAAATTTTTGTTAATACTTTACTTTCATTATTTTTCTAGAAGTTTTAAATTTAAAATTTTTAAATTCATTATGATTTCAAATATTTTAAGTTTTAATATAATTTGTATATTTTTTGTTATTGTTATTATTTTTAAAAAGCAAATTGTGTATTATGATGCATGATGAAAACTATATTTGTTTAGAGTGAAGCATTGAAAATCTGGACTAATTGTGACCAGAACCTATTCAGGTTTTCAAATATATGTGTAAATTAGAATTTTAAGTTCTATAAACTCCCAATACACTGTAATTGAAGTTTAAGTGTTTTAATTTCAAGCCAGAATTTTACAAGGAGTGTAGAAATACAAAGATTCAAATATAATTTACAGTTTATTTAAATGAAAGATAAACCAGCATGGAGCTGCTCAACTTTCCTGGCAACACCAAAATTTTAAATGTTACCATCTGACTCTATGGGAGATACACAGGACTCCCATTATCTCCCATAACCACCAAAACTTAATAGCATCAATTCCTGCAAACAAACAAACCTCGTTGCAAAATTTCTGAAATTTTCAACAAAAAGTACAGGAGTTATTAAACTTTAAATAGGGTGAACAAAATCTTGTTCCCCTCAACACACACACACTAACACATACTAACATCCATTCATACATACATAGAGAAAAAAAATCTCCAAAGAATTTGTATTTTTCAACATTTCAAGGTATCTTGAGTCCAAAAATGTAAAAATCTTTGGGGGGGGTCATTTTTTGACTGATTGCCATTCTTTCCCAGCTGTTATATATAACAGCTGGGAAAGAATGGCAATCAGAAGTAATACATTAATCATAATTTATCAATTGAAAAATTTTGACTTTGAGTAAATGTTAGAACATCAAGAACAAAGTTACCATTGAAAAAGTTAATATCTCATTTTTGACAGTTGAATCTGGATTTTTGATGCTTTGCTGTATTTTTTTTTTTAATTATAATAAAGAATTACATAATACAGTTTTTTAAAACATAACATGGGTATGTTTTATATATATATTTATAAGTTTTAAAAACAATCAACATGATTTTTTTAGTTTTGCATTTTAACTTTTTGACAAAAAATGGTTTTGGAGATTTGATAGTAAAAATAACAATTTATATTACTATATCATCATGATCATTATGAAAACTGTTAGTGATTAAACATTATATGAGTATTTTTATTATAACTTGTTCACATTTTTTTAAATATTAGCTTGTGATGAATTAATTCTATAATGAGGAAGCATTTACACTTACAACATACATATACTGTAGGTTAGTGGCATGTTGTCCATGAAAGCTGTGGAAACACTGCTTTCCTTGTATTTTCTAAAATATAAATACATATTTTGCAATTATTTTTATATTTTAATGTACTTTGAATTAATTAAAATTCATATTTTATTATAACTGCATTGTGTATCTTATTACATATTTCTATACTACATATGAAAAACAATTATAAGATTGCTATTGTGTATTCGAATATAAATTTGTATATGCATATTCTCAATGGAAGTGCTGTATTGTCGAATATGGGATAGCTTCCATGGCAAAAATATTTGAATTGTGTAAAGCAGCCAGATTACAGGCATTTGTGCATGTGCTTTACAGAGTACCAACCTCTCGCAGTTTAGCGTGTGGATGTTACACACCAAAATATCATATGCTTCCAATGATTTTATCCAGGGTTGGCACAGCTTCCCTATCATCAAATGTCACTGCATGCCATTGCTGTAGATGATAAAACTCCAGCTGTGACAATTGTCTACAGGAAAAATCTGTTGTGAATATAAAGGGTCATCCATAAACTATGTGCCCTAAATTTGGGAATTTTTGTCCACCTTTCCCTTTTGTGGTAATTTGTGTATCACCAGATACTCCCACCAAAAACTTGTCTTTTTTCTTTCCTCTTGAAAATAAAAACATATTAACTTTAACAGGAAGAAAAATACAGATTTATTGCTTAATAATAATGGATGATACTGATAAACTTCAAAAATTTGGATATTTTTATCTTCACCATTTTTTGATAGTATGCAATCTATGCATTAAAAAGACAAAACACCAAAAAAAAAAAGAGGAGGCACATGTGTAAGAAAAAGCTCCTGGAAAATGTAAATAAAAAGACAGGAAATTGAATTTAGCACTTTATTTTTTAACATATGTTCCATTTAAGTTAAAACCTTTTTCCATACAGTATCACCACCCTTCTAAGCCCTTCTGGTAGAAATCAGAACTTCAAAATCCCTACTTTTACTATTGTATCCAAGTGTTGTGTATATTTGTTCAACCTCTCCACCAACCCTTGTTCAGAGGACCTGGTTTATGGATGGCCCCTAAGTGCTTCCCTCATTATGGTATTAATTTGTCACATGTATACATTTTTAAAGATATAATTTTAAAAAATATTTAAAGATTTAATAATTTGATGTGTAATTGTGCTACGTTGAATTCTAATTGATAATTATTAATTTTTTTTGTTTTCTAATAATGGAAAGCAGTAATACAGTTAAGTTTGTTACGCAGTTCTAGTGCAGAAATATATAATAATTCCCAAAAGAAGATATTTGCACTCAACACATTACTCAAACACAATGTGTTGAGTGAAAGTCTATCTTCATTTGGGAATCATTTTATATTTCTGCACTAGAAACATGTATCAAATTTACTTTAGAAATCCCAAACATATGGATCACAGTAATACAGTTAACTGTATTCTACTGTGTAAATTGACAGTTCCAGTTTTATACAGAATTAAATTGGTATTAACATTTATAAGGAAAATGGACAAATAGTTCTTTCTAGTTCATTTATTTAAAATGTTGATGGTGTTAACTAAATAAAATCCATTATCAAAGTTTGTTTGTTTTTGAATTTCTATTCAATTTTTTATAAATTTCCTGACAGAACCAACAAGGAAAGGCAGCCTAATTTTTTAAATATTTTATGTTTAAAATAAAAGTTTGTGAAATTAAACCTATAGCATACTCAGAAAAACTGCAAATTAAAGGGAATTGAAAATATTCTGTTTACCTGGAAATTGATATTGTAGCTGTGTTAAAACTTACACTGACTTGGCCTATATCCAATTTCCATTTACTATTCTTGGCAGTGTTCCATTTTGATGATGATTTAATCACAAATACTTCATTTCAGCAACTTCAAGTCATTTGTTGTTATCTAGTGTTATTTTTGGACATATGAAAGTTTTTGAAATTTGAGAATTATTGCTTTCACCTGTTGTTAAATTCAATTACAGACATAAATAAATGAAATATATATTTACTAATGTAAGTAAATTGTATAAAGGTGTAAATAAACAATATGATGAAAAAATGCATCCCAACTTATCCTCAAAAATAAAAATGAAATTTAAAAATTCCTAAAAATCAAGATTTGAATCAGAACAACTATGAGATACGGACTCATAGACTAAAATGCAATTACTACACCACAAATTCTTACGAACATATTTGCACCAGAGCATATAAATCCAAATAACTAAAAATTGGTTACTTTTTTGGGTCTTGAAAATGCTTAGAATATAGGATTTTTTAGGAATATTTTTGATTATTATGTAAATGTTTAATTTCACAAACTTTTATTTTAAACATGAAATATTTAAAAGATAGGTGGTCATTTGGTTACCTTTTCATGTAAGTTTAATATGTAGTGTGAAATCATGACCTAGTACAAAATTGAGAATTCTATCTCTTTGAAAATATGTAAGTTGAAAGTAGCCGCAATGCAGTTGCAATGTCATGAAACATTAATTTCATCAATAAAAACACTCATTTCAATATTTTAAATTTAATAATGAATATTTTTAAAATACCATGTTAAACTGAAACACTATTTAAAACAAAATTTTGTTTTATTTTTCCACTGTTTAAACTGAAATCATTCAATTTTAAGTATTGTGGGAATTAAAGCTTAGTTGTATTAAGTTTTCTTGTAATTTAAGTTGAGAAGAATATTGAAAAAATTTTTGTTTATAATAGTGGATAAATTACTTTATGTATTTGACAGATAGGTTTAAAAGATACAGTAGAAGTTGTTAATCAGCACCCAATAATCTAGAAAATTTGATAACACAGCACACTCTTAACAGTATCTGATAAACCAGAATTGTCTGATGATAATCTGGCATGCTAATATTCTGAAAATTGGAATTTGGACACATGGTTTGCTATAAAGACTCTGGAATGAAATACAGTACATCTGGAAAATGTTATGCACAAGAATCTTTGTATATATATATTTTTTGCAATAATGTGTTTATTATTATTTATGCAAGTTTTTCAATTGATTTTTACACATTAAGCAAAACACTGTGTGACAATGTGTGAGCACCCCTACCCTTCTGCACCACTTGACGAAAGGGTCGGCATCACTTCAATATGCCACGTCAGGACTCTGACACCACTGTATTTTTAGGAGACACACAGAAACTGTTCTCATTCACACGTGAGTGATCACGTTCATAGGTGGTCAGATTTGGGATGGAGGAGGTCTGAGAGACAGTGTACTGAAAGTGCACTCTACTACTCATTTAGGAAAATCAATACCTGTTTATTTACATATATGTGTGATAGGATAGGTTAATTATAATAGCAAGTCATTAGGCATTTCTTAACAGGCCCCTAACCGAGAGAGAGAGAGTTTACACTTGCTTGCGGGTTGAAATATACCTGAAGTTATAGGTCTTTTCAGGAGGTTGTACACTTGCAGTTGGAGAGGGCAGATTCGTCTAGTACAGGGGTGTCCAAACTTTTTGCCACAATGGCCAGATTGGGATTTAAATACATTTGCGGTGGGCCACGTGAATCTGTGAATTAAAAAATCTCATTATGACTAAAGCAGCATTGAATTTTATGTTTTACAGTTAATTACAGATACACCAATACTAAACAAACATGGCTAAATTATACATAATTAGAAAATTATTTCTTGCAACTTTTAATGGAAATGATGGAAGATGGTTTTTGCTGAAGAATTTCTTTATCTTTAAAGTTGGGATTAAAATCTGAAACACCAATTATAAGCAATGATTGCAAATGATCATCCGATAAATTTATCCTGTACTTTGGTTTCAGATACTTTATCCTGGAAAAGGTTTGATCACACATATAGGTACTCTGAAACAGAAATAAATTTACAAGGAAATTGTTTTAAATTTAGAACTCTTTTGCATTCAAAAATTTGTAAAAATCAACCAAGCTTCCTCCTTGATTTGATCGTTAGCTTGAAGATCAATAATTTCCATTTGAAAGTGACTTGAAACGTCGGCAACGTTGCAGTTAAATGGGTTTTCAAACAGCCGAATTTTCTTTCAATTCATGTCAATATCAAAAATCATGTTTGAAATTCTTGTTTTAAACCTTAAAAAATAATATTAAACTTCAAAATAATTAGTTTGTAATACATTAAATATGAATTTACACATACCAATTTGCAAATGAGTCATGCGCAACAGATCAGAAGGCAATCTTGAGGTCAACTACAGAGATGCCACATACAATGCTCTCGATTCTTTTTCCTCTTCTACTCACTAATACAAAAAGAGCCCATAAAANTTTGTAATACATTAAATATGAATTTACACATACCAATTTGCAAATGAGTCATGCGCAACAGATCAGAAGGCAATCTTGAGGTCAACTACAGAGATGCCACATACAATGCTCTCGATTCTTTTTCCTCTTCTACTCACTAATACAAAAATAGCCCATAAAATCTGTGTATTTGTGTACAGTAGCTTCGCTAGCGCAGCCGGATGGCCGAGAGCTCTGGGGGACCCGGGCTCGAATCCGAACACGTTGAAAAAATCCCCAGGAATTTTTCGGGGGGGTGGTCCGTTCGGATATGTCGGGCCCCGCCCCTCACCACCCGGCAGCCCCATCGTCGGCCTGGCCGAACCCATAATGGGCTTGCAAAAAGAGGCCCTCTTAGTGCCCACAGGGCAGAAAGAGTTAAAAAAAATTAATTAAAAAAAAATAAAAAAAGTACCTTCGTTATTTGCCTGCTTTCGTACCAATTCGGTAGTTACCGAACAATAGCCCAAAACAATATTTTTACGACTGTAAATTTAAGTAAAATTTTATGTATATATTTTTCAATTTTATTATTTTTAAAAATTAAAAAATATTTTTTATCAAATATAATTTTTGCATTTTTTTTCAATTTTCGATATACATTTTTGAAAATCAAACGGGTTCGCACGAAAAAATCAGTATTTTTCAAAAACCTTCGTGGGCCAGATAAAATCTTTTGCCGGGCCGGATCTGGCCCGCGGGCCATAGTTTGGACACCTCTGGTCTAGTAGGATGATGACATTGCCACCTGGCAGATAGGATTTGATTATTGGCAGTAATCAGTGGCAGTGACTAGATAGGTGGTGTATTCAAATTCTCTCTGGAGCAAACTCTGGAAGATGGTGAACTGGAGTCAAAGGACCAACTCTTGATGATGGACAAACTCTCTTGTTGTCATCGATCTTTCTTCTTTTAATTGGGAGTCCTTCCCTTTAATTTCAATGCTTTTTTTAGATAATGTTCTTTCACTAATCCAATAGGTGACTTTCTGGTGTGTCATTCCCGATGAATTCATCATGATGTGTCATATGTTTGAAAAAGGAATTAAATCTGTGGGAACTCCACTCATTTCCTTTGACTTTGTTTTTTGGGGGTAACTTTAATAAATTTTAATGTTATTCTTTTGTTTTATTCAAAAAATTCAATAGGTATCAGATTAATAAACTTCTACTGTATATTTTTACTTTTTAGTTTTATTAGTGATTTTGTCATACTATACAGTCATACTATACAGTTATTTAAGTTTCATCTTAGCGTCTGTATTCCATATTAAATTTATCTGAAATTTTAAAAAATATTCAGAATGAATAAAATTTATATAATTTAAAAATTTTTTTATACAGTAAATGAAGAAACTGGTTCTTCTTTACCTGTAGAAGATAAAAACTTAGTAGAAAGAATTGCAAACAAGTTTAACAATTCTCTTATATTTGATCCTTCTAAACTTTCAATGGCATACAGCATTAGAGATCCTGTTGTATTTGGTAAGAATTTAAAATTTTAATAGACAAATATATTTTTTAGTTGTCAGATATAAGTTAATTAGTTATTAATTAAGTATGTATATTATAATTTGCTTAATGATTCCTTCAGTATAATTAATCATATGTTTTTTTCACTAGAAATTCTCCATGATGTCTGTTTATTTTTTTCATTAAAACACACCTTTTTATTTTGGCTTTTATGCTGTATACTTTATCTATAAGCATTTTTAATTTGATTGATTTTTAAAATTTTTTGATTACTTAACAATGTTTTAAAATGAATATGGAGGAAAATAGGGAAAGAGGAAACATTTTTTCCCTTTCATTAAGTACAAAACTTAAAACATAATTTGTGATTTGTTGAGATAAAATTGTATTAAACAAATGATAGTTTTCTGTATCAACACTCACTATGTAACATACCATGTGGCGCAAAAGGCAGGGTTTCACAAGTTAGGATTCAATTTAAGTACCAGGCCTGGACTTTACGGGAACAAAATATAATAATTCAAAACACTTATAAGTACAAATCCACAATAAATATTTATTAAATTGATCACTAGTATATAAACAACAACAATGATAAATTATAACAAGAGAGAGAGTATATATTTCAATTATTCAAAAAGTCAACAAAATAAACAATTAAAGGAACTCTTTGATTATATATATCAAATTAAATCAGATCAAATCAAGTCAAAAATCATTTCAAATCTCCACCACAAAAATACTCAAAGTATATGTTTCCTTTTGCTGATCGCTTATTAAGAATACCAGAGAAGGCGCTTCTACAATGGTTGTTGTTGGGAGCTACACCACACTGCTGGATGGATGTATTATCTTTTATCTGGTTTTCTGTGTAACTCTGCACTGCCCTATTTACATTCGTTTGTGTCACGGGATCAGTCACTGATGCAAATTAGTATCTTTTGCCATTTCCTTTTTGAATTTTAGCACATTGAGGGTTTAGGAGTTTCCATCCTAAAAAAGACCCCCAAAAAGAAAATAACTATAACTAAAATAACGCCCAAAACATAAAATATTGATCGGACTTAGACTCCTTACAACTATGGATGTCAAAATATTAAATACTGTACAAAGAACTTACATCTCGTTCATACAAATACATTCACTTTAAACAAACACATTTGTATGAACTAAATATAAGTTCTTTGTACAGCATGTTAGCATATTAACTTTGATTATATAAAAATATATACAAAAATTTTAATATTTGTAAAATATTACTATTTTCATATAATTTTTTTTAAAAATTAATGATCTTTTTACTTGTAAAAAAGAGCTTTGTATATAGATATTCTAATGGAAATAACATTGGGACAACTTGTTTAATGAAAAACATTACTCATTATAAACTAAATCATGAAATCAGCCATATATTATAGAAGCACCTCTCTTACTTCAAACTTATCTAAGATAATTGAAATAAGACTTATCTATCTTTAGATAGAAGAATATGTATAATCAGCTAGCAGAATAACCTCAACTTGCCAATTTTCAAAATGATTGAAAAAGATTTTCCTTTCTTCCGAAGCAAAGAAATCAAGAAATGCTGAAGTATTTCATCAATAATTGAAGATGATAGTAATTAACTTCACTATAATAGTCTCTCATTTCATTAATCTGAAATGTTGATGTCTACAGATCTTATGAGGAATGTTTGCACAACAAGAAGTGTCAAGGAAGTTATAATATTGTGCCTATTTTCATTTTCTGTTTATAAGATTATTGATTATATACAAAATTACCATTTTAGCCATAAATGGGAATGAGACAAATATTTGTACTTTTTCATAATAGTAATTAAAATTTGTGAATTTGGCATAGTCAAAATTTGTATAGTTTCTGAATTCAGATAGTAACCTATAAGGAAAGTTCTGTTAGAGAAAAGACTAATATCATTTTCAGAACTTTTTGCTAATGTATGAATTTTAATTTAGTTCTGTAATTTCTTGTACAATTTTCTTATTAAATATACTCAAACTTCAAAATATTAATTTTGAAATTTAACTCTGATATAATTATAATACCCTTAAATATCACACAGCAGAATTAGAATAAAATATAATACAGTGGTACCTCAGGTTACGAACGCCCCAGCATACGAAATTTTCAGGATACGACATGAAATTCGAACATATTTTTGCTCCACGATACGAACAAAAACTCACCATACGACGTTACATTAGTTCGCATTTTTCATTTGTTTTTCTTACTACAGTTATTTTTTT